ACCGATTTGGGTACCCGAATCGGTTATACTGTTAACCCTCATTTCCAGCAGTTTCAAAAGAGAAAGATTTTATCCGTACTTCTGGAAGATAGAGTGAGGACTCGCCTGAAAGCGCCCTCGTTCGCAACGAGAGTTGTGAGTGATTCGAATAGACTGCCGGATGAAGTCATTGCTGTCAACTCGACAGCAGACTTCATTTATTGCTAAACCTTTGCAAACCACGTCTTCCTCTCTTATTCATTCTCCTCCCCCAACCTCTAGGAGCTCTAGGCTTATCCTCTACCTTTATTAGACACCTTTACCTCTTTACACCGACTTCTTAGTCCCAATGAATGGTCTGGCCGTCCCTTGAGTCTGCGAGCTGCAACACCATTCTTGACAAAACCCCTCGAACTGGAGCCCTGCGAAGAGGGGTCTCTCTTGGTCGTTGTATAATATTCGTTTGATTGAAGAAGAGTTTTTCTTTTCCTGTTGTCCTAGCACCAGGGGATCCACGGAGCCCATCGGTGCAAGAAGCTGGACAAATTGGTACGCCGCCGCTACGTCCTGTGAACCGATCTGACCTGGAATCAGTAAACATCTTTCTCGTTGCATCAGCATTCTCAACACTGTCTTGGTTGGTCTTAGTACGTGCAGCCATATTGATGCATATATATGATTTAGGAACCATATCATGTATAACGTAGACCACTGTCTGCATGCCATCTCTCATTGTGGTACCATTTGCCTTTTATGTGCATTTTTCTCCACCGTAACTCCTCAAAAACGCTGAAAATGCAACATACCGGACTTGAATGGACTACGGCATCAAATTCGCACTACTTTTTTATTACGCAGCTTAGTGTGATGAAAGGTTGACGGGATAAACCCCATAGTCACGAAGACCTACTATTCCGTGAAGGAAACCGGTAACATGAGCCCTTGGACTTGGATTGGCAAACCGCATAAAGCCCCGCTAGGTTAGGCGTGGTATTAAACCGGACGAATAATCTTTTCATAATCTACTCAAATGACAATTTCGGTCTTTGGCTACTTCAATCCACAACTTGCAAGCCGCTGGTGAGCTAACCGAATCTGCAATGACAGGGTCAAGCTTAGGGTACTAGAAAGTTGAGGTCGGACAAGAACGTACTTGCCTGACTTCAAAAGATCGAGGTGATTGGGAACTGCTTTGTTTAAGCCTCGAGATGAGTATTTCAGGCATTAGGCTACTTAAAGCATAATACCAGCTGATCTGCATGCGGCTGGGCATGTCAAAAGTTCACGAATGGAGCTTCGGTAATTTGGGTGATAAACAGTGAATAGGTGAGCGCCAGTTCACTCAGTAAGTAGCCGTAGACGATTAGAGGCAACGTCCGAGGGCGGCGATTATTTAGCCTGAAGAGCGATTTCTTAGCGAAAAAGGCCACAAATTTCCGTTGATAGCATTGCAGAGTAAGTGGGTGTGACTCTTCATCAGATGCGGTCTTCACCATTGCTCGATTGTTCTATTGATAGCATTTGATTGTGCAATGGTTAGCGGTCGATTCTGGAAGGAAAAAATGAGTAATATTTTGGATTCTACAATCTCAGAATTCTTCATGAATTCATCCATGAAACCGACTTATCCTCCCTTGGGAACTACAACCCAAAATTTGAGTAAGACTTATTTTCTGGGCTGGTTCGACTAGAATCTGGAAAATAAATAAAGACGGTTAGTCCACGAAATGCCGGAAACATATGAGCATCTAAGGTTGGACCATCTACTTCTATGTGGCTAGCTCATGCGAGGTACTCTGGACTATATCAGTTCAGTTCAGTTTGTATAACCATTAACCATGTACTTTTGTGCTCCGGTTTTGGTTGCTGTCTTTTGGCTGACCATTTGGATAAAGAATAGGAGAAGGTAGAGTCGAATAGAAAATGGAAAATTTCAGTGGACTAATGTTGCAAAGAAATTGACAAGACGCACGAACGCCACTGTTTACGACACTCAGCCATGTCACTCTAACCATCGGTTACGATCATCCCGAGGTCCCCAGCCAGGGAGCCTAACGGGACCTATGTGACCCATTACCCTGGTTAAGGATTTCATACCCTCGAGCCACGTCTTAGCTTGATCACCCTTGGCTTTTTTCCACTCACTACCTGAGGAAACTCACTGCCTTCTCGTGGAGGAGGTGTTTTCCCACCAAAGTGAGAGGACAAAAAGCTGATATCCGGGTTGGTGGACTAATGGTAGTTCGCTTAGGGCAACTGGCCATAAGCCTTGATTCCAAACCAACCAAGAGTAGGCTTACGAACCACAACCACACCTTCCCGGCAGTGGTCACCGGTTTAACTGAACATTGAGGTGTATTGGGCACCTTGGACATTTGACCCCGTCCAAAGGGTGAATGATCCTACGAACTGGACATCGGCTCCCAATGGAATGCGGTTCTCACACATCGCCCCGCTGCTTTGCGGGTCAGGCTTTGTTTAGCCAAAGGCTCCGGTTGTGGATTCCTTAAGAAAATTCACCTGCCTTGGCCTGGGCAACCTGGCAGTATTCAGCCC